TCACGGATGGTTCTAAGACAAATGAAGGTGCGGGGTCTGGGGCTTTCTCTGAAGACCTTAATATCCACATATGCACACCGCTGGGTACCCACAACACAGTCTTCCAGGCTGAATGCGTGGGTATCATCCAAGCGGCTATAGCAATAGATGCTAGGAAGGCGAGAGACTTCTCCATCAGAATACTGACCGACAGTATGGCAGTACTACAAGCTGTGAGTTGCAATGTGACGAATTCGGGACTGATATACGAGTGCCATCAACGATTGAATGAGGTATGTAAGCACAACAATGTGACTCTGCAATGGATCAAGGGATACAGTGGATCTAGAGGCAACGATACAGCAGATGAACTGGCCAGAATGGGGTCGGCTCTGGCAAGTATAGGACCGGAACCTATAATACCAATCCCCTTTGGCTACGTTCGTTCACTGGTACGTAGATACTTCAATAATTTACACACTCAACTCTGAAAAATTTAGTAGACTGTAGACAAGCTAGGGAGGCCCTGCCTGAAATAAACAGTCGTCTAACCAAGGTTCTAATGAGACTGAACAAGCCACAGATCAGGATAGTAACAAGTGCTATCACAGGACATGACACTTTTAACAAACATTTGTTCACCATGGGTGTTACTGATAGCCCCATGTGCAGGGCACGCATGGGAGAGGAAGAAACGGTGGCTCACGTGTTGCTGACATGTCCAGAAGTCGCTTCATACAGGTCTAAACATCTCGGCACGCCGGGATCGCTCCCCGAAGTTGCTTGCAACATCAAAGGACTGTTGAACTTCTTCGGGGAAATATCGTGGCTCGAATAACTACATTATTCCTGCCGTGTGGGCAAAATACGCGCTTAGACGTGGAATTGCGGAAAACAGCCCGTCGTAAACTAAACTAAACTAATGTGGTTAATAAAAACAGTTATATTGTATAATTAGGAATGATAATACAATTATTGAAATAGAATGTTATGTAACTTTCTATAACTTTCAAATAAATAGTCAGTATAATACGCACGCCACCTAGTGTCAGTTAATTGTACCATGCGTATAACCTTCGCACAAGTGCAACCAATAAGTTGACTAAGTTTTAACGCAATCTGTTGAACGGTATGGCATCGTAGAAAGTACGAACAAAAATAAATTTTTATATAGTAGAAAATATTTTACTGTCTATAGACAGACCTGTAGTTGATTAGAATAGGCGTTATTATAGCAGCTGGTTTGTTTTTTATAGTACTAGAACTAAATGAACGTTTAACAATAAATTATTTTAGAAATTATGTTTTTATTTTTATTTTGTGTAGCTAGTTTAATCTTAATAATGTTTAGTTGAATGGTCTAAGGGCTACGATGGCTATCCGAGTACAGAACCAGAGTACAAAACTAACCCACTTGTAGAGATACTCGTATATAAGACAGGGTGACGTAATATCCCCGAAATACTTTACCGCTGCATTGGAAGACGTTTTCAAGCTACTGGACTGGAAAGGATACGGTACTAACGTCAATGGTGTGTGGCACTCACCTTCGATTTGCCGACAATATAGTCCTTATCGCAGAATCCCTGGAGGACCTACGCACTGTGTTCAATGACCTCAATAGTGTCTCCCAATGGATAGGTCTTAAGATGAACATGGACAAAACAAAAGTCATGTGTAATGTCCATGTCACACCCATGCCGTTGGTTTTTGGGAGCACTTAGCTGAAGTTGTTGACGAATTGGGACAAATAGTCCGACTAGGTAAGTTCAACTTCGACCGACAGGTCAATCGACGGATTCAACTCGGCTGGGCAGCGTTCAGGAGATTACAACACATTTTCTCGCCAGGAATACCTCAAAACTAGATTGTACAACCAGTGCGTGTTTCTAGTGATGACCTATGGATCTGAGAGGAGGTTTTTCACTGCTGGCCGTATGAGGAAGCTCGAAGTCGCTCAACGAGCTATTAAGAGGGCTATACTTAGGGGTTTAAACTTAGGAATGAGGATATCTGCAGCAGAACTAGAGTGACCGACATCGCCCAATGGATTAGTAAGCTGAAGTGGCAATTGACCGGCCATATAGCTCGAAGAACCGAATACCGATGGGGAAAAAGGTTCTCGAGTGGCAGCTTCGTACCGGCAGGTGAAGTGTAGGACGTTCCCCCCACTAGATGGAGTCAAAACCCGGTAAGACGTTCAGGAAATTGATGGATGCAGGTAGCTCAGGACCATGCTTTGTGGCATTCCTTAGGGGAGGCCTATGTTTAGCAGTGGACTTGTGAAGGGTTTTAATGACGATGAATGATAATGGCATTATATTAATATGATACATAAATAGAATGGACGTTACGGGTAGAGTCCATCTATCCATAGAGTCCATTCTATTTATTTAGGTATAGGTAGGGTATAGAATTTTTATCGATATAATTTGATACACTGTCTTATCCCTATTATTAGTTCCGTGGACGTGCACTTCTGCTGTCAGTGAAAAATGGCGGAAATCAAATCGCTTCACATCATGTGTGTATGGCCATTCCAGCGTACTTATATATATAAAGAGAGAGAGGTCAGTGTTCTGAGGCCACATAATAAGATTTTTTATTTAACTGGCTTTACGGCTCTGGGTTCTAGCCCTTCTTTCAGAATCTTCATTTTATATATTTTTTCTTCACAATATGCTGATGCGTCACATTGCGAAGTTTTATGGAGATTTTAACGACAGCTCAACCCAGCGGACTGTTGATGATGACAGCCACTCAAGTTCATATTCTTCGTTTTCTCTAATAATTCACACGCGCGGACACTTTATTCACAAAATGACATCATTTTAACGAATTAAAATCCACTTCAAACCATTATTCGAGCGACAAAACAGGAACGACAATCCATCGACGTCCAATTTCCCGCCAAAAACTCCCACACAATAAGACAAAGTGTATATTCCATAGAGCTGTGCTGTGACCAAGGCTGTGACTCATGTAAATGTGTAAAAGGAAACGTCTCGAATATATCAAAAATAAGAAAAGGCGGTTTGTCTCAAATATTTCCCATATTGGCCCAATTTGCCCAAAATTTATTAACATTTCCACATATTAATGCAAATGTTGAGCGTCTGTTTTCTGCGATCAATCTGATGAAAACTAACATCAGAAACGGACTTTCCACCAACACGCTAATAGGCTTAATTTTTACGAAAAAAAGGCTTAAAAATAAACCGCAAGCCTATACGGGAACACATTCAACTATTTCATAAAAATATGTATAAATTTAATTTGCCTGATGATAATGAATAATTTAATTTTTAAAAAAAGCATTCGTTTTATTCAGTTTCTCCTACCTAACTTCTTCATTTTTATCCCGAATATATATACTTTAATCTATACTCTTCATTTCACTCAAAAAAGAGTACGTAGATCTACGAACTTTCCATAAGCAAAATTGTATTAAGCTAATTCTAAGTAATTTTCTAATCTGGCCTACGCGCCTACACCTGTTTGAAAATCCGAGTTGGCAACACTGGTCTAATATCGGTCAATACTAAAAAATAAAAAAAAATCTAAAGTCCCTATATAAAAAAGTACTCTGTGTCTAAAGTGGACCAAAGCCGCAAAGTAGGGATGATCGATGTTGCAAAAACATCGATGATGACATCGATGTTGATATCGATAGCCTAACATCGATGTTCGATATTTATCCTACTTAAAACATCGATGTTGGCCATTATCGATGTTATTGCACATGTACCTAATTAGTAGGTTAAAATTAGATGAACAAAAAATTAATAGTGTAGTTTATAGTTTATTATTAATGAAATGAAAGAAATTTATAAAACATTTAGTGCTAAATAGTAATTAAAAAAATGGGCAAAACTTAACAAATGTTTAGTTCATTCGTTATATTTTTTGCCGATAATGATTAATGTTATTATTTTGATCTTTAAATGTTCCTATACAACCAAAAATCTACGAAAAAATTTACTATGAGACCTAATTTACGATTTAGACGTAGGTTCTATAATAACCACTCCCATCGCGAAATAAAAAAAATATGATTATAGGGGGCGAATTAGCAAACTTCACAAAAACAAACTATTAGACTTTTCCGTCACCTTTGTTCACTATTTTTTCTCAGACAGCCCAAACAGTAATTATCCACAGCCGTTTATAAAATGCACTGTAAAATGCACTATGCAGTGAAATTGTCTATGCTCACAATCGCCCAGTGATTTATTTTCATAAACTTCAAGCAAACAATAAACTCATTAGCTCAAAAAACAGCTAAATATAAATGGATTGTGTATATTCATATTGTTTCAAAATTATGTGTGTATAGACAGCAAGAGAAAAAACATTATTTGTATATCCATTTATGTAGAATAATTATCAGGTGACAATGATACCACAGAACAACAAAGCGAAAGCGGTGACAACTATGACATTACGGTTCACACTTGAGAGGGAGTTTGCTACAACATTATGATATTTTTCAGGTGATTGATGCCTTTAAGAATCCTAAATTATTCAAAATTTTAAACCTTTAATAGGAGATGAAATATTTAGTTGATATTGATGTCGCGGGTTCGCATTGTTCACAAGTTCTTATTAATCAATTATTGGCTCATTGACATCGATGTTTGACATGTGGCATCATCGATGTTACGATGTTTAACATGTGGCAACATCGATGTTAAAACATCGATGTTTTAATTTCTAACATCGATGATCATCGAACATCCCTACCGCAAAGCAAATAAGCAAAGTCGTAAATGTAAAAGTAATCAACTTAAAGTAAAAAAGAAGAAGAAGTAATCAAGGAATAATTAACCATTCTCTAACAGCTCGAGTTTATTAATCGGAGAGTTAAAACAAAGAGATTTAGTTTTCTTTTCTCGTGCCAAGTGTTTATTGTGTCAAATAATAAAACTTCGTTTTAAGTAACCTTGCCACTTTAATGGATATAGTACCATCACAGTAAACTTTTAAATAAATTTAAACGTGTAGTAAAATAACAAAATATAATGAGTCAACCAATGAAAAGTTTTGATGTAAACTCTGACGTCAACTTATCAAATGCTGCTGTAGCACAAACTATGGAAAGTCCTTCGTTTAGAAATCCCATACCATCCACATCAGCTGCTAATATCGGACCACCAGTTCTTCCGCCGAGACCTGATTTCGGTATTCAGTCCAGTTATGGTATGAATCCTGGTTACTCTTACGGAATGAGTGGACCCTATGGAATGGGTGGATATAGTGGTTTTGGCTATGGGGGATTAAACGGGGGATATGGAATGGGAGGTATGGGCATGGGAGGACCTTATGGGGGATTTAATAGATATGGACCAATGTACGGTGGTGATATCGAGAGCAGGTAATGCACAATATGTTATAAAATAAAACAGACTTAGAATGCATACATTGGTCTATATGGCAGACCAAAACTGTTCCATTTGTTTTTTATCTAAATTGAATGATGTTTCAATCTTCCTCAGAAATATCTATGAATATAGCATAGCTCACAAAAAGTTTTTATTACTAAGTAATATAAATTTTCATAAAACTATATATTACATGAAATAGACTAGAAAAAACCTGTTGGATTATTGCACTAATATATTCCAATCACATAAAAACACAATGGTTACTAATGTAAACATGCACTTAATATGTTTCATAACCGTTCGTTTGCTTCTTGCAACCACATTTGCAAAAACAGAATCCTTAACTTTGCTCTTTGCAACTGTGGTTGTAAAGCGACGAAGTTCTTTTAATTGAATTTAGACCGTATTTTAACCTTTTCCACGCCCGCCTAACAAAAAACAGCTTTGTACTGGCCTCTGTTGTCACCTCAGCTGGCAGCACTTGTTATAAACATTTATGTTTCTCACAACCTTTCCTTTATGTTTAAAGTGGTTTTAGTTACAGTTATTTAAAGCCCATAAGATTTTCAATAAGTAGAAACAATAACCATAACATTTAAATGTTTATTTTATTTTGTACAGCTCTTTGTTTCTAACGGATCTTGATAAAGTGTACTTACTGACAATAAATTTTATTTTATGAATGAAATATCATAAGTTTTTATTTTATTTTTATGTCCTTACAATCAATACAACATATTCTTCCTAAATGAACCGAAATTATGCATGTAATAATTATAATATTCTACCTTTTCACTTGCAAATATTTGCTAAAAATTTGACAAAAGACAGTTTGCGCGCGCTTTGTAAACTATTTTTCAAAACCTTTTTGTGTATATATTTTATAGCGTCTTCCTTTATTTTTCTTATACAATCATATAAATTTAGCAATGCCTAGTAAAAGTATTTACTATGATATTCCAATAAGAAATATACTATTATTATCTTATTAAAAATCTTGACCGTTATGAATTGTTCGCGTAGAGGTTTTTTGTTTCTACTTTTTTATCAATTGAAACATAAAAAGTAACTGTTGTTGTAACTTAAATCATTCAAAAACATTATGTAGTAAAGATAAATAACATTACTTACAGTTTTTTTTGAAAGAAAATCCAACTAAAATCACAATCACAAAACTTCAACGATTACGCAACTAACCGCACCAACAGCGCAAAATCGAATGTCTGTTATATTTGATTTTGTCTATGTAACCGAGTGAATATAATTCTTCAGAATACTCTGTAGTTCGTTCAGAATCAAATGAAATAGTGTTCAATCGAAAATATACTGTATTTTATATCAATTAATGACGAAAATAGCAGCACGTAATGCGGAAAATTCATGTCAGCGGTACTCAGCGGTCACAAAACGTGGATATCAATCGATGTCCACAGTACATCAGGGGTTAAACGCACAGAGTCTAATTATTACGTATTAAAACCAAAAACAAATATATAAATCGTATATTTAGATCAAAATTACCAACCTCTTGGACGAAAAATATTGAAACTTTGTTAGTAAAAGTTTGGTGAGTGAAGTGATGCTTGAGTGGATTTAACGAGATGATAAAATATGCCATGAGTATTGAATTTTATTGATTTTTGCTAGTATTTATATACAAAATTAATGTCTTATTTGTGTTTTCTGGTATTAAAGTAATATTTTTGCAAATGTGTATGAAAAATGTGATAAAGTCGACTTTTAGAAATACTCAGAATGATGCGAATCTAAACATAATTTTCTATAGCTTACATTATTGTAATTATGTTGTATTCTTTAAATACGAAATAGTAGTTGTGGTATTTGAATTTATAATTACTCAATTGAAGTAATAAAGTTTTATAAATTGTTCATCATATTATAACATAAGTTTTTATGTAATAACAGCCTATATTTTAACTAACAAATAGCGATCAATTGCGCAATCCGTGAATTTTTCATCAGGTTTCACTTAATATTTTACTATGTATTTAAATATAAATCGTTTTAAAATATAGATAAATATATCAAGTAATTAATTAAGTTTAAAAATATAATAATAAATCATACACTTATCAATCTTATTTTCTTGATAAACCTGATGTTTTATAAAAAGTTTTATAAAAATGGCTTGTGCTTGTGATTTCAACACCTCTAAAATATTATTGTAATCATATTTTGATAGAATAACATACATATTTCCTTTCCTTATTTCAATGGCTATTTATAAAAATTTAATATATTTGAAGTGCTCCTCTCAAGTAAGTCATAAATTAAGTTTTATTGATGGCGGGTCGAATGTGAGAAACACAGTCCCAATTACTGGCAAACTAAGCTACCCTTTTTTTGTTCCCAAGCAATCGAGCGGATATAAGTACCAAATTCATAAATCAATTTATAAATCCTTTTTGTGAATACAGGTATTGACAAAGATGTTTTATAATATTATATCTTAATTTCTTCTGCATTTAGCCATATAGGGCTTGAAAAATAATAAACAATAAAATAAAAAATTATGTACATATAAATCAACACAATGTCATATCATTAATTATATTGAATTTCATTAGAGCACAACATGTTACATTACATTTTAATAAATATGTATGAAATAATCGAATTTCAAGATTTTCAAGGTTCAATTCCAATTCCAAAAGTATGGAACTTCCGATTGATTTTGCACCTTCGATTCTGATTTCGGTTCCGATAAATTTTTATCGGAAGTTATATCAGAGGTCGATGTATAGCGGCAGTGGTGGCCACTATCAGCGCGTTTGAATAAGTTTATACTTGTGACACGGGGAACCTCTCTGAAATTATTGCTTTGCAAGATCTTCCCTTTAATTTCCTGGAAATTGTATTCAGATGACTAATGCAGTTCAAAAAGCCGAATTATCAGTTAACACAAAGGTAGTTTTTTAACGAATAAGTATATTTGTGATGAATGATGTGTGTAATTTTATTTTATCTGCCTTCACTTCGGATTTCAGTTCCAGTTCCGACAAACCAAATTTAAAAACTGCTTCCAAATTCGGTTCCGCTATAACAACTTCCGTAACATCCCTATAACAAATACACAAATCACTCCACCCATCTATTACAAAATTGAAAAATCCACTGCTGAACTTGTAATAATCAGCTTATTAATATATATATAAACATATATATATATATATATATATATATATATATATGTGTATGTAGATTGTTATAGGGTGGATTTTGACATAGTTGGCACGCTTGGCAATTGGGTTAGGAACTACAGTTTCTTACTATTTTGAGTTTTACACAGTTTTAATTAATAAACTTATCTAATTAGTTTTTAAGATTTTTGTTATTAAATTATTGTTATAGATTTATTCAAATAGCTGAAGAGAGGTCAAGACCAGCATTTGATTCAATACAAAGCCTGGTGAATGCTGTTGGCAGTGTAGCCATGATGTTAGAGAACACATTTTTTGCATTGACTAGTTCTTTTAGAGCTATTTTGGGTAAGTAAAAGCAAATGTAAATTATCTAGACAGACAACAAGGAACAGTCACAAGAGCGCAATACATCTTCTACAACAATAGCCATACTGCCTGCCAAGTGTTACAATCAAGGAAATTCCTTCTCACTGCAGGAAAGACCCATGTCCAGTAATAAATACATTGTACGGTCTGGTAATAAATAATCAAAACAATTAAGTGTTAGTACACACATTAGTACAACTGCGCAGTTGGCTCCTGATTGTAACTAGTAACTGTAGCTCATTTTTATCTGTAACAAATTCCTAATAAAAAGTGCAATGTGGTATTGGCTTTACATTGTTTCCCTTAAGAACTAAGATGGTTGTTTTACTGCCTGTATTTATTATATTATTTATAATTATACTTCTATCCTTTATTCTGGACAACTTAAATAAAAGAACCCAAAACAAAAAGAGTTTATGATCATAAAAAGTACACTCGAGTTCAAGTCGCCTTTCAAACTAAACAAAAACTTAATTGAAATTGGTTCATACATTTAGGAGCTATAATGCCACAGATATACACATATTAAGCATATAACACCCCTCTTTTTAGTTAGAGGTTAAAAACTAAAAATAATAATGAAGGGATTGTTGCTTTGCATCAAAGATTGATGAAGGTAGGAGGATGTTTTTTTTTTTATTAAAAAGATTTCTTAGGCAGGAATAGAATCATACTTTGTGTCAGTTGCTTTAGATTTTTTCTAGATTTTCTCTCAATGTTTTCTGTCACCGCTGAGCATGTGGTAAATTAGCACTTAAAATTGCAGTTAACAATTTCATTAATGCAAATGGAGATCAAACTCAGGTTTATCAGGATCATCATCATTACAGCATTTCAATAAGGTTGCTTGGTTGTTGCAGATTGCTTGTGTAAAATACCACATTAAATACTCATAACTTACACCATGGTAATAGGCCATTTCTAACAGTTGACTGTTATAGACTAATGAAGAAGATGAAGAGTCGGAGAGAGAGTATTTAACTCTGGGTTATGATCCTGATTTTAGTATATGATATGTAGCAGATTTTAGATATTTATTTCTGTACATCTCTTGTAGGCTGTGATACTAAAAGCCTCATGATCTCATTATATCATATGGTTTGTGGGCTGATTTTGTGACATAAACCAGAGACATGTTTCACTAGTAATGAGGTATTTTATCTGAGTCCCCAGGGGTGACAACAAAAAAATCTACATTTTAATTATTAACTGAGGATAGTAGCTGCAGATAATATTGATGTCACAAAATATCCATATTACCTCATTCAAGATGCACATCGTGTTCTTACTAATTATGTTAAAGAAATTAATTCAATTTGATTTCAACAGGTGTAGCAGAAAACTTCGGCCGGTTAAGGTCATTATTTGCGCAGTTTTGGTCGACCTTAGCTGTGGTACGCAGTTTGAACTGGTTGGTTAGGAAACTGCTTGTTATGCTGGGTATCAGAACTGAGAGTGAATTTAAGGTGGGTGTCTATTGCTTTAGCTTTAGTTTTTCTCTTGTATAATATAAGAGATGAAACAATATGGCTACATATTATGAAACAATACGAATAACATTGCTTCACGAATTTTTGTTTTAATTAAATTTTTATTTAAAGTTTTAAAGTAGATAAAAAAGAGTTTTACTTTTCTCATTTATTTTTATTTTGTTTATTTTAATATGGTACATAATTTATCATTGGAAGGTTGATTTTACATTAAAAAAACATTTTTTTTAATTATCGCCCTTCAGCCTATTTCTAAAAGTATGTATTTTAATGAATCTTAATAAATACTATTGTTACGAGCTTGAGGTTTGTGACAATAAAAATTGCCGATAGAATTACCTAAATTAACACTTTAATTCACTTTACACTAATTAAAGTTAAAAACACTAATAATTAATCACACTGATTAACTTTATTCCGCTCCGAAGTTTCGCTTGTCTCGCCAACTTCAATACTTCACCGATCGCTTTTTTTTTTTTGCGCCCGAAGCAATTAAAGGGCTACCCTATACGTAGGGAGGCGGAAAATGCATTACGCATACCACGATAGCCGGTCTATCGTGGTTATGAGGGACTCACTGTCCTACCGGGGATCCTAAGTGATACCCTCTAAAAACCGCCTTTAGGGATAGGCAGCCGGCTGATTAAGCTGTATTGTGCCTTATCGTGAGCGACCCTCTTTTGGGAAAAGAGGGCGCAGGCGACTAAGAGCCGCTGAGGGAGTGCCTACGAAGGCAAATTAATATTAGTTAATACAATAATTTAATTTAATTAGAGTTGGCCTGAGTCGCCAGGAGGCGGTTCAGGTCGTTTGTCAGTTTATTAGGCGGGTCCGAGAGAGAGTTTCTCGGCCTGCGGACTCGATAGCGAGATGGGGGTGGGGCTGCATAAGAAGCTGCCTCACGAATTAATTGGTTTTTCACCGATCGCACCTTGCAGCGCCTATAAATACACATTAGTACCGAATCATCCAGAACATTCAAGTAAATACGCGCACCAATCGACAAAGCGCCGAAAGTTCGAGAGTCAGCTTCTAGAAGCTTAGTTCTTCGTTTCGACAACAGATGGCGCTGTCGGTTGAAAGATTAGTGATGTCATTTTCTGGAAAGCTCTCTCCTCGCTCTGTTACCCGACACTAGATGGCACTAGTGCCAGATGTCAACTTAGCCGCGCAACACTTTGATAATATATATTGTGATGTATAACATTATTTGCTGGAACACGATTATCACATTCATATTTATTTCATCACTAATTATAATTATAAAAAAAGGATTTAATGCACACACTGCAAAAACTATCGGGCCTCAGTTTTTTGTATGGTTTCGATATGCACTACTGATTATATAGTATATTCTTTAAAGTACGTATATTATATAACCTTTGGTGAACCTGTTAGTCAGAAATTAATTTTCGTGTGAGAAATTACCTATTTGATTGTGCAACTTCTGAACAACTTGAACTACTGGGGTCACATCAAACAATACATCTATTTTGTTGAGAGGATGGTTAATAGTTATGATTTGTTAAGTGACGCTGCTTTCAAGTTATTTATAAAGTATGTAGGCCGAAAATTTAACTTTTTGAAAAATTTTATATAGAATTAGTACAATTGCGTAGAATTTGGCCCAACATTTTATTTCTGTTTCAGTTTAAAATAGTAATTTAAAATCATATCTTCAACTCTACAGTGTATCAAGAGTGCAGTTATGGCATCGTTTTGAGAAAATGTTACGTACTTAATTCCAATGCCCTCTGCACTCCAGTTTGTCTTACTTCCAAATAAGATTTTGGAATAACAATGGGAATTTCGTATAGTGTTCGTTATAAGAATTCCGACAATAACCATGTATTTATAAAACTCCACACTGTCAAAAAATTCTTGGTAGTAGGTGCTTTTCTGCCTAGGTGTTCATTAGTACCACCCTCGTAGCTTTCTGAGGCGAAATAGTACTTGCACTGCTGTGTTCTGGTCTGAAGAGTATAGAGAGCCCGCGTAATTACAGGCTGCGAGGCATTCCTTCTTAGTCCTAAATGCACCCATAGCCATCTTTGTTTATTGTAAATTCATTGAAGGTGTTCATATGTCGCAGTAGCCACTTACCATGAGGTGGACTGTACGTTTTTTTACTTCTCGCTATGAAAAAAAATTAAATTAAAAAAATCGGAAAAAATTATATTCAAAAAATTCACCCGTTTTCGAAAATCGAAGTTGTATATGATCACGACGTTTTGCGATCCTAGGAAGCTATTCTGACTATTCTGGTTCAAAAACATCTACATTCTATCCTCGGTTAAGAATCAAAATGCAGATATGTTGTCGCCCCTGAGGACTAGGATGATAAGCCTTGTTGCCGGTAAAGTCTCCGGTTCTCTACACTTTATAAACATAGCAGCATTAAGCTGTTTCACGCTGGTATTCTGACAGAGCGTGGTCCTTCCGTAAACCTGTAATTAAAAAAAATTGCCGGGTTTTTTAAATAATTCAAATATGCCGAAAAAACGTTTTTTCGGTTTTCGAGTAACCCGGTTTGCATTCCCTAACCACGGTCACATTAATCAGGATTTTTGTACGTGGTAGCATGGCTCATGCTGCAGCTATACTAGTAGTATTCCTCCGAGGATATCACCTTGCCTATATGGTTTCACCAAATTGATATTTTCAATACTGTTTCCGCCGATTTAGACTGACTGAGAAATCTCAAAAATAAAATTTTCAAAAAGATGTTTTTTTTTTTTGGAAAAACTAAAGCAGATGTAAGGATCAAATCCAAAAATCTAATCAGCTCTTAAACATTGAAAACGACGTCGAATGCGTTGAAGAGATGACGATGACGAAAAATTTCGAAAAAAGCTTTTTTCACATGACTTTTGAATTTACAGTTTTGCCACTGTCAAAAATATTCAAAAAAGTGGTATTTTTTTAATAACTTCGATATTTCTGCTCGGATCGTTTTTGATGAAATGAGTTAGTTATTAGATCGTAAAAGTATTTGTCGATCGTTTTGAGATCGAACATAGCGGTATGTTCCAGGGAGGGCCTGCAAGGCAACCGGTTTTCAGATTTATTTTAAAAATTTTATTTAAAAATACCTAAGTCTCAAGTTTCCTAGCGTAAGTACGAGTCACCTTTCAGTGACTTGTACTTGCGCTAGTCTTATAGCTCTTTGTTCAATTTTATTAAAACAAAATTATATTCCCACACTATTTTCAGAGCTTATGATAAAAATACAATTGTTATCTTTGGAATATAAAGATACGCAGTCAGTTCATTAGTAAGTTTATCACTAGATGCAAAAAATAACATGTTTATAATGTTCGCCTTGGAGTAATCGTACTTGTATTAAAACAATTTTATTCCTAATGATTTGTTATATTTACGCGAACAATAAACATTTAAATAAAATCAGTTTTTGCTAACTAGTTGTTTTAGGTGCTGTAAGCACGTAAACGTCGGGAATATGAATTAATTTAATCCCTAAAAAAATCCCTATAAACTAATTTTATTTAAATTGTTTTCCTTTACTCAGTTGGCCACTACACGTTGACAAATCTTAACTTTATTATTACAATTATTGCCTTCGGTCAAACGTCCTTAAGTTTCAAATGTGCAAGAAATATTTTAGCAACATATTTTTCTTTATCTTAGATGGGAATATAATCCATCAAAACTGAGTTACGGAAAACAATTTAAATAAAATTACTTTTTAGGGATTTTTTTTTTAGTTTAAATTAAGCGATAAAACAGGAGCAACAATCCGTCGACGGACAAGTTCCCGCCAAAACTCCTCTCAGTTGATGATTTCTTTTTTTCTTTATTAACTGGCTTTACGGCTCTGGTTTCTAGACCTTCTGAGCCTATCCTTTCTTTTGGAATCTTCATGTTATGTTCTTTTTCTTCACGATATGCTGATGCGTCACATTGCGAAGCCCTTGGGAGATTTTGACGACAGCTCAACCTAGCGGACAGTTGATGACGACAGCCACTCAAGTTCATAAGGCGCCAAAGCGATCAAAATAACGAGGTTTATATCGACATTAAAGCACTTGTTTCGTCGTTTTCTCTAATAGTTCACACGCGCGGACACTTAATTCACAAAATCGCATCACTTACGAATCAAAATCCACTTCAAACCATTATTCAAGCGAAAAAAATTGGAGCGACAATCCGTCTACGGCCAAGTTCCCGCCAAAACTCCTCGTCAGTTGATGAAATACTTCATAGAACTAATAATATGGATGCGTTACGTAGCGTATTTTACGATTAACAAGTTTTGAAATGCTTGATCTGTAATTGCGATTTGTGAGTTTTGCATCCGTGAATGAATATAATTTAAATTTTTACTCTTTTCTGTGTTTCAAAACTTTGAAGTTTCATATAAGTGTGCTAGATATTGTATACTTAAAGTATGAGCATCAATTCGAAACGTACCCGGTGAGCGGTCGGTTGAGTGAGTACTAGACTTCATTCTAATGATGTGTATGTAATATGGGTTTAATTTGTAAACTTTTTTCTTCAATTGCTAACGCGCGGTACACACGGTACCGGTCGTGTCACAGAGTAAGGAGTAATTAACATCAACACCACTACTTCATTCACATTAGGAGAATCCCCGATTCGTTACATGTTTTACCTAGCGATTTGAGAGTGACCGTGAATTTAGTTTATAAAGTTTTACTGTGCTGTGTTCAAATCTTACGAATTGGAATAAGAGTACTAGATTTTTTTATAGACTGCCAGTGCCTTCATAAAATCGGTGAGACGACGAGCGAGTGATACTGGATAACTAATATGGAAGTACCTAATCACTGTTACCAGATAAATTTGATAATTGATTGTGAGATTTTATTTTACTTACTTACAAGTATTTATTTCATCTTATAAATTCGATGAGTGTGAAGTGCCAAAATCTTTCTTTTGTAGAAAGATGAAGAAGTAGAAGTTATTACTATTTCTTTTTCGTGTCGTTTCGTTCACACGATTATTTACCTTTTCTATATGGAACAATATGTTGGAGGAATGTGTAAATAAAAAAAACACCTAAGGGGTTCAGAGAAACGTGAAATGCGGCTGGAACAACAAAACAAACGTGATAAACTATTAAAGAAGATACAAAACCTTTTCCAATTCAAATACAGTATTATGTTAAATTCAAAATTAGTCGCCAATCAACAGAAAATCAACCCTCTCCAAATAAGTGTGCTAGCCAAATTATGGCGGCGGACCATTAGAGATTCATTGCGAGTGTTCTGAACAGACTGACTGGGATCAAGAAACAGCTACTTTAGCGGGTACAGAGGAAAGTGAGACCGAGGCCGAGGTCCAATTATTACACCATAACGTAGTCCAACTAAGAGTAGAATACCAGAGTAATATGGCTTGTGGCAAAATATTACCAAAGAAATACAAGATTTTTGGTGTACTAAAAATCCTAACGAATGTCAACACTGAGTGTGATTTTTCGGCTTCTAACCGATAATATGACGATAGCAAAAGATGCTTACCTTAATCTATGTTTTTTCAGAAACATAAGGTGGTAAAATTAACCGATATTGCCTCATGTTTCCTCCATCTACTGGAGAAATATACTGCTTTCCATTTGTTTCTTTTGGCGAAGATCAAAGCCAATAACAATTTCAAATTGCATTTTATAATTCAATCCCATAAGAATAATGCAACGCACCGAGAATGTGTACAGACACTAATTAGTAGACGACGTATTCACGGCGAAATTGACACCTCTATGTAAATGACATTCGACAAAGAATGGGAATCTCTATATTAAAAAAATCAATTGCTATTTGCATTTGGGCACGGTAGGTGTTGCTGTTGTCAATATCCAGAAACCAACCTTGCGAAGCCAGGGTGGATCGCTAGTATTGGAATAAAGTTTTACAAAGAGCATAAGCCCCGCACGTTGATATAGCGCCTGGTGGCCATATAAATGACATAGTCGAACTGTCAGTACCGTTCGCAAGGTCAGCCAGCGCTTACGCGTATAGAGTTAACTACACTCCTCTACCACGTGTTTTTTATAACTTTTTATTTAGCTTATCCTTTTTTATTTTTGTTGTTAAGTTTTGTTACATACATTAGTAAGGAAGTAATAAACAGCCGTGCTCGAGAAATGATTATTAATGCGGACAAGTTATGTTGTGATGGAGAAAGTGCACTCTAAGTTATTGATTCAAAATATAAACCGTGCCTTAAAAATGCTTCGGACGCTACTGAGGACATGTTAATTTTAAAGCAACTTATGACGGACATTTTAAATCTTACAAAATTCTACCAAAGTGACGGAACGTGTGTCGTGTGCTACAGGCATCGCAAAAAATACAGTGACAAAATAATACAACGAGAGCATGAATTTGTAACAGCTAGTGACAGCAAATATCTATAAATATATGTATATAATATAACATAAATACCTATAACCTTAAGTTATTAACTTTTCTCACCAGGGGTGGCAACACCTCACACGAAAAGAAGATTAACTTTTTTGTTCTCTGTACTTTTTGCGGTGGATGACGTCACGCAGTCGTTATTATGACAAAGTTCCACCGTAATAACAACGTGCGAGGCTTTTAGTACCAGTGGCTAAATTTTTATCATCCCTTTGATTAGTATTCCATGGTGATGATGAAATTCTTGGTTTTCAACATAACTTTAGAATTACTCGCGGAGTACGATTAGGGTTGCCAGATGATCGGGATTCGTCTGAATTGACATTTTTAGTGATCTCCAGACTCCCGACAAAACTCAAAATCTCCAGACACATAGCTTCTCTTCACATCACAGCTGCTTTTGATTTTATTAAAGCTGAGTTAGTTATTAGACTGAACTTTGAAGTAAATTGTTTGAATTTTACTTTTAAATTGGTGGACTCATTAAAGTACATGTGGCAACCTAAAAATTGAGTGTACTTAAATTATTTATTTGTCAATAATGTTAAGTCTTTTTGTAGCCTATTCATTTAAAAAATATACCAGATACCAGACATCTCATACTGATCCGTTGACTGTAGTGCTGAGATACTTTACGTCAAATGGAGAAGTACCAGAACGTTTTCATATTCCCACAGAACACAATTACTCTCTCGCCTATAGTAAGTGACAAGGGGGAAGAACTAGCCGTTACAATTTTAATTTTATTAAATCAATATAACATTGATATAAAATATTCGAAAAGCCAGCGCTATGATAATACACATACAAAAAAAAGACGTGTGGCACTCGGGGACTGCCGCGGTGAAGCTATTGCATAGCATTTTGTATCAACTTATGTAATTATAATTATTTTTTATTTATTTTATTTATGCAGTATTTCTTTTTCTTTGATATTAATTCAAATTACACTTTTTGAGCGTGGTGACCGATAAGAAAACAAATTTTTTTCTTTTATTAAATAAATAAAAAGTTAATATTGTTTAAAATATTTTTCTTTTTTTTTCTTTTTAGCTCTTTACGCTTTTCTTCTCTATAAAACGAAAATATCTAGGTATAAATAAATAGGTATAAATAGTGTAATGACACACCAAAACAAAATTATTCATTTAAAAAAATAACGATATTAAGAAGTGATTATCGAATTTCGCGCGATGTACATTTATATAGATATAATATCATATATACTTTCTCTGCGCGGCATTCATGTGCATTATCTATACACCAAAAACAAAGGTACTGAATAGTACACGTGCTTGGTTCGATGGCTTCTGTTATATACATAATGAAGAATGAATTTATATATATATATATATATATATATATATATATATATATATATATATATATATATATATATATATACACATATTGAGATACTAAATTGAGAATTTAAACTATACGCGTGTGTGTTTGTGTGTATAAAAGAGGGCTACTTTTAATATCGCTCATTTTAATATCAAAAATTTAGGTTATCTTTATAGCAGTATTATATTTTCAATTCAAAATTAATACTGCATTTGTGATAATAATAAAATGTATGTACGAGGGTGGATTGAAAAGTACTCGGCCTAACCAAGAAAATAAACACATACTAAATCAGTAATATTTTTATTTTTCTACATAATCACCATCAAGTTCAATACACTTTTGCCACCTCCCCTTCCAAGCATTAAGACCGTTGAAAAAAAATGATTCTTCCTTAGAGTCAAAATATGCGTCTACAGCTGCTTTGACCTGGTCGTTTGTCGAAAATCTTTGACCTCCCAAGTGCTTTTTTAGGTTAGGGAACAAAAAGAAGTCTGATGGTGCCAGATCAGGTGAATACGGCGGATGCGGTAACAGTTCAAAGCCACAGTTGTGAATTTCAGCCATTGACTGTACTGACGTGTGAACACGGGCGTTATCTTGATGAAACAGGACTTTTCTTCTGAGCATTCCTCGACGTTTTTCTTTTATTTCCTCTCGTAAACGACGTAGTAAGGTGCAGTAGTAATCAGAGTTTATAGTCTGACCCCTTTCAAGATAATCAATCATAATCACACCTTTCGAGTCCCAGAATACTGAAGCCATCACCTTATTTGCCGACAAAATCGACTTAGCCTTTTTAGGGGGTGGTGAACCAGGTCTTCTCCACTGTTTTGATTGTTGTTTTGTTTCCGGTGTACAGTAATGAACCCATGTTTCGTCCATAGTAACAAAACGATTCAAAAAATCATCTGCATCGGCTTCAAATAACTCCAAACAGTCGCGTGAAATAGTCAATCGCGTCCTTTTTTGTTCAACTGAAAGCAGTCGCGGAACCCACCTCGCAGACACCTTGTGGAAACCCAACTCGTTGACAATGATGTTTTGAGTTCGTTCATAAGAGATGCCTATAATCTCGGCTATCTCTCTATTTTTTAATCTGCGGTCTCCCATTATTAAATCAAGTACTTTTTTAATATTTTCGTCAGTAGTTGACGTCGAAGGCCTTCCAGAGCGGGGTTCATCTTTCACACCTCTCTACCACGCTTAAATTCTGCTATCCATTTTTTGACGGATGAATATGACAGAGCACAATCGCCTAATGTACCGACCATGTCATCATGGATGGCTTTTGATGATAGCCCCTTCTTATGGAGGTACTTAATGACGGCACGCTGCCCGATTTGCTCCATTCGCGGAAATTATGTCCGATTACTTTGTTAATAAATTTATAAAATCACAACTAATTATCGCACACGTTTCGAACTTAGTAGATTTGATTTTTAGAATTGAATGGATCTGTGTTAGGCCGAGTACTTTTCAATCCACCCTCGTATATAGAGTATTCACTCATTTTCTTTCACTATTTTTTCGTGACTTTCTTCGTTAATAATAAATGCACTTTGTTCATTCATATTCAAAACACTTTATACACAAATTTTACAAATACAGCTATTCACTGTTGTACATAAACACCTATACAGCTATATACTTTCTCATAAACAGCTGCTTATGTATTCGTCCGATTTCGGAGCAGCTCGTCTCGATTCGTGCGAGCTTCGTAGAGTCGTACAATACGTCTAGTTGCACGCACACAAACACCGTGTCGAAGACTGCCGAAAAGAAACGACGTTCTTAGACAATGCACGGCCTTCAAGCCACACCTCCGTGCCCGTCGGAGTGGGGGAGCGTGAGGTTTTTTTCGTTACGGAATTTCTGGATTCGGTCCCCGCGCTCAAGGCCCGCGATAGAAACTATGCAATAGCTTAATATTTAAATAAATGCAATCAATATACGACATATTATATTTATTGGCTAGTGTGGAAGCGAAGTTACAACACTTATTCCTTTATGTCCCATATTGTGTAAAGAGGGAATAAGGTAGTATATTTTTGTTTCCAGGCTTGGGCAGAAGCAGTGGCGGCCACGCAGTCTGGTACTGCGACAGCTGACCAAAAAGCCAGAGGGTCCAGTTGGCCGATTCTTCTATTTTTCGGTGTGATCGCGGCCGCGCCTTATATTGTGCTAAGAATGTTGAATGGGCTGTCCACTAGCATCAACGAAAGATGTAAGTATGAAAACTGTTTAATTCAAGTACGACTTCAAAAAAATTAAGAGGTTCTCAATTCGACTGTAGTGTTTATGTGTCAACTCAAAACTTTTTTCTAGGTGAATTGATTTTATGATTTTTCTGATAGCTCCTGGTGTGCTGGCTTCTCATGTGGGTCCATATAAATTTTATCAAGATCAGACCAAGTAGTTTTTGAGTTATCCTTAATGATGCGTATTTAATTAACTATGATTATATTGATAATATTCTCATTTTATTTATATTGAAGTTGGTTGTGTGCAACATTTTTAATTTTACTACTTTGTTCCATTAGAAGTTTGGAAAGTTGGCTTTGTGTTTTTTTCCTTGCTGTTTTTAAATATTTTCCTATTTAACTATATAATATTTTATATTGTAAATTATTATATACATACATAAGCTCTCATGCCTGTCACCCAGAGGGGTATATACTATAGCCTTCCATTTGGCATGATCCTGACACACCTCTCTCGCCTCTTCCACATTCATATACCTACGCATACATGCTCGTCGGTTAAGGGTGCTCATAATTTGGCCCCCTTTCAGTAAGGTCGCCAATTTGATCGACAAACTTTCGCCTAGGGCGTCACTTCCGACTCTGCCGTTCACTTCTGCAACATAAATTTGGTTTGTCACTCTTTCCTCATTCATTCTTTCTATATGTTAAAATAAATAAAAATATTAATTACTTCGCAACCTTCCGCTAACTAAATACAATGATGTGTCTTACCTGGATTGAAGAGCACGTCCCGCCCTCCCTCAATTGCATGCACTAACTCCGTCACCACTACTCCCGGCACCACTATTCCAGGTAAGACACACCATCGACGATAATACGACACGTGTTTCGCCTCTACACGAGGCATCTTCAGGTGATGTAGACTCTACGGCGGCTGACCGCTAAGTGAGCGGCGACCGGCGAGCCGAAACAGCTGCTATTTATACACGCCGATACAACCACTCCCCACCAAAGTAGCGAGTGACCGCGCCGTGCGATAACAAACCTGCGACTAATTATCATTATTGTTATGATTAATATTTTTATTATTATGTGGGGTATCTATATAGTTTTCTCATATGGTTGGGTTCTATAAATATATAATTATAAATTAAAATGAAAAGATAAATATAATTAAAATAAAATAAATACAAAAATACATAAATAAATAAAAGCCCAACCAGATGGTATCCCTCGGTAGGGAAGACCAAACGGCTGAGGGTTAGGAGGAAAGGGAAAGAAACTGGCGGACGATGCGGACGGTATCGAGGAGCACCGCCTTCTGCATTTGAGCCCGGAGCGGTCCGTCACGGAGTCCCAGTCGCCTTACCCGTAAGATGACCCGAGAGGCTGACTGGGATTAGCCCATTCGCAGAGACGACTACAGGAATAATTTCGGCAGGCAGACCACCCCACAATCAGTCACCTCATGAGTCAGGTCCAGATATTTTGTTCGCTTATCCGTATCGGCTTTCACGAGGTTCTCGTCATACGGAATGGTAATGTCGACCAAAAATATCCTTGACTGTGCCCGGTCCATCAGCACAATATCAGGCTTATTCGCAAGAATAGTCCTGTCCGTGATGATGGCCCGGTCCCAGTAGAGCTTGGCGCGGTCATTTTCGAGCACGGCTTCCGGCAAGTACTTGTAATACGAGACCGTATTTCAGAGCGAGTGTAGAATTCTGGCTACTAGGTTGTGCCTGTGCAAGTACTCAGAGTTAGAAAGCGCCGAACAACCGGAGATGATATGCCTAAGTGACTCCCCGGGATGACGACAGACGTCGACAGTGCCATCCTTTAGAATGTATCTCCGATAATTGTTGGTCTTAATAACCTGATCCTGTATTGCACAGACAAAACCCTCTGTTTCCCCGAAGAGGTCACCGAAACGTAGCCAGTTGAGGGAGGCGGCTGTATCTACGTGGGGCTCAGAGCCCTGTAGTACCTCCCGTGGAGCTTCTTCTCCTTCCATACGGTCTCCCGGTCGGAAATGCTCTGTACTGTCGGGTCCTGCCATTGCTCGTTGGCTAAGGATAGAGGGGTAAGTCCGTTATCACTAGAAATGACGTCATTATAGATTGGATCATCCGATCTCGCCAGGAAGTAATGACGGAGGCTGCACACTTCGCGATTATGCATGGTGAGCGCGCTCAAGAAGCCACGCCCACCATGCTTTCGCGGCAAGTACAGCCTCATTACCGACGATCTCGGATGATGCATCCTATGGGACGTCATTGTAGTGCGGACTTTTCTATCCAGGGCGTTTAGTTCAGTCTGACTCCACCTGAGTATGCCAAAGGTATACATGAGGACAGGCATGACCCAGCCGTTATATGCGTGTGTCTTATTCACACCGGACAAAAGGCTGTTAAGCACTTTGATAAAGCGTGCATAAAACACGTCGCAAACTGACTGTTTCATACCAGCCTCATCGATACCGATGTTCTGTGACATACCCAGGTATCGTTATGTTTCAGCCTCGGAAAGGGTCCTTAAGTTGACGGGCATAGATAAGTTTATGCCCTCAGATTTAGCAACCCTTTCACTTTCAACATGGAGGATGATGATGGATTTGACTAGAATGCGCAAAGGGCCGCTGCCTGGAGGACGCCAGGGCGCGTCTGGAGCTGGCGCTGGACGCGACAGCATGTGAACCGCCAGCCAACGAGCGCGAGGTGCTGCACGACCACACAGCAGCCCCTCGCATCCATCATCCCCACCAGCTGGCTTGGTGTCGGCAGGGTCTTCGCGGGCCCAGCAATCGGCACCCGCCACTGGTGGAGCACACCGCATGCGTTGGACAACTCAAATGAACAGCAACGCATTGCGGGCGTATTTTAGGGCGAAAGGGGGAGAAATAGATGAATTATAGATGATAATAACCCCTGTGAAGGGTGATCGCTACCAAGCTATTTCTAATTTGTCTTATGTTGTTGATTGTAAACATGATTGTAAGCTATTATTAAAAAAAATAGTCCCGCCGGGCTTCTTGCTGGTTCTTCCCAGGACAGAGGTTTTTTTTGCGAACCAGTGGTAAATTAAAAAAGTGACTTTCAATAAGTATTTTTATAATCTACATTGAATAAAAAAGTTTCTATTTCTATTTCAAAATTGGAGATTTTGCGTATCGGGCAAGGACGCATCGACTTTTTGCTGAGCTGGAGCCATCTGTAACCGTCACCGAGCAAAACCTGGCAGATCGAGTTCGGTATATCTTGCGCTCAAATACATTTGATGTCACCGTTGATGATCACTGTTCCTTCATCGGATGAAAATGCTACGGCTGTGGAGGCGCCACAACTTGCAGATCAACCGGCAAACGTGGATGCCGCCGTGAATACCCCAGTTTTAGTTGGTTCAAACGATGATGGAACAGTCGCCCAGGAACTGGAACTGGAGCAAATGAGGAGTACATTGGATGAGGCGATTTTGGAAACGCGCAGTACGCCTCTCGAAAATCGACCGCCCGACTTCCCCGCATAGCCCTCAGCAAGCGGAATCGGGTTATCGTGAGGGCTCTGAACCCAATGCTGGTGACCTATTTGGAAGCCAGCCGGGACCTTTGCGAGACGGACTCAATTCTCTTTGGCGCCGCACTGGCAGTCTGCCGTATTATAGGCGCCAAACTTTCCACGGCTGGACACACTACTGGACAAAGTAGTGCTATCCCAGCCTGGAGAGCAAGAATTGAAGAACGTATCGCAAAGGCTGGGGCCCTCATCGGCAGACTGATATGCTTCAGGTCAGGCAAGGATTGTGCGCACCGTCAGGATGGCGTTTGCTGGGACAAATGTTAGTTTGTCCCAGCCGGATATAATGCAAAAACTGACAGAGCGCATAGACGACCTGAAGCAGATTATTATTATTATTATTGTTCTATTGATATTATTATAGTTATTTATTATTATTAATTTTAATTATAATTAAAGATTAGCCTTAAAGATGTTTAACAAAGGTGAATTAGAAACATTTGTTTGTTCATTCAGCAGTGCATTGTTACCATTATTACTTTTTTAAATCTCCAACTGTTCCAGCACACACAGTCGCAGCCCCTTATTACAAGTATGCAAGACTTCAAAGGAATGGTTGCTGGCTAGGCTAACAGTTCTTTCTTGCTTTTTCCTTTCAATTACTTCTTTTACTCTCTTATTTAGATGTCTAAAGACTAGCTTGCTACATATTTATTTATCTATGTCTAAAGACTGCCTTTTTTCTTTCAATATCATAATTCGTACTACCAGAATTACCAGCCTTGGTTGCTAGCAAATCGAGCCATGCTCTCTTCTATGTTTCAACTTCCATACGTACCTCATCATCCCACCATAACATATGAGTAAATGTATTATTCCTTTCATTCATTCTCTTACTAACACCACATACTTCGGTAGCTGCATCCACCAAACCTTTCTTAACATTATGCCACACGTTCTCCAAATCTAACTCATTCATATATAATACGGTCCGGTATAACATAATAAAATTTAAATTTTACCGAAATCAGTCGAGCGGTTTTTAAAAAATCAACACTAAATTGTTTTATTTATATTAAAGTTGGTTGTACAAAATTTTAAAAGTTTTAACTTGTATGTAATTATGTGAAGTTATCAATCACTTAACTATACCTATATAATTTATGCTAAGAAATGTAATTTTCTTTTTACAGTAAACGATCCGACAACATGGCAGAATTCTCTTAGAGCTGTCGCTCAGCACGACTTCCAAGCAACATCTCCTCAGGAGATCAGCTTTAGCGCAAACCAAGTCCTGACCCTAGCACCGCAACATTTGCAAGGGAACCTATGGAACTCCGGTTGGCTGATGGCATCAACGGATAGACAACACGCGGGATTGGTGCCGGTTACGTACATAAAAGTTATTAGGCCAAATAATAATAATGAAGAAAAAGTAAATAACGACACAAATATAAATAAACAGACGGAGACGAATGTAGATGATTTGGAGAAATATTATGGACAAGATTTGTAAGGTTGTTAATTAATAAACACCTTGGTGTGGGCTATAGCTAGGGGATAGCGATTATTACGTTTGGAGTTATTTAGGCTTGTATATATGGTTTAAGCTAAACGCATTTGTCAGCACCGTACGTGCCGCATTTTAGAATTCGTTGTATGATTTCATCATATGAAACCTCGAATGTTACAGCTGCACCGTACTCGCCGCATTTTATGAAATGCGGTAGGTATCCGAATATTGAAGGACGAATGCCGATGACGTCATATAATGCGGCGCGTTCGACGCGTGCTGATACTCAGTGTTGCCTAATGTTGCCAATTTAGTGAATTTTCCACTAAAACTGGTGGTTTCGACTTTCGTTGTGAAATATATTTTTACTTTATTTCAGGAGCATTTTCCTTTACTGTGTAGGCAACAATGAGTCGTCACACAAGACTTTTTATAATTTCATTGATACATAATTATTTATACATAATTTGAAAAAATGCTGTTGCATCGATTATCAATATGAATACTTAGCTACAAAATGATTTAAATGCAATAAAAATTGATAATTAATTTTAATTCAAAACCCCAATTATATCTGTTTACTTAATTCTCAATTAAAAAAAATACTTATCTCAAACATACAACAAGTCTTTCCTCTGGTTTAATTGGCCTTCTAAATCTTGAGTTTTCCATAGAGAGATATGGTTTTAGTAAATGTGGAAATTCTTGAAATTTCTTGTATGTAAAATGCAAATATTTGAAAAATCATTCATCATCTAATAAGTCTTTAAATTAAGTGTAATATTCTCCATGCAACTGCCTTTTACCAATTAATATTATGATTCAAGAATCTTCTTTTCTTCGAACTTTATTTTCTTCTTCCTCTGCCAATAAGCAGGCTATTACAACAATTTTTCCGTAGTACCCTGAGCGATCAATATCATTGGACCGTTTTACACCAGTGGTTGGAAAAACCTGTAAAAGTTGGTGGCAATACAAAAGAAATGCGTACGGCACGTACGTACAAACGTACTTGGCCATTCGCAAAATGCGGTGCATACGGCGCGGACAAATATACGTTCAGCTTTAACTAGTGCCAGATTATTTACTGCCTGCTATTTAACACGGTAAGGCTTGTTGCAGACGATGCGCAGTAGTTTGCGAAAACACTAATACTGTGCATCAAATTTTATAGTGTAAACGTTTTAGATACTTGGTGAAAATTGCCGATTTGTACTCTTCCTTGCGTGAGTGCGATCTACTCCCCCCCCCCCTACGACCTACCATCCCCTCACTACGCGTTTCTCACCGCCGCGTTGCTTGTGGTATACAAGTAGTGTAATTGCTTACAAATGCATCATCCGAACTAGTCACGGCTGACTCTTCTATTTTATTTAAGGATTAGGAAGTACGTCATTTTACCTCGTGAGGTACCCGTCATTTGAGGTGAGGAAACTCAAACAAGGTAACGCATGAGCAAAAAATATATAATATGTGTTATGAGTAAGGAACACATCTATAGTCCGAATACGCGACTTGATAATTATTCATGCCAGTTCATTTAATGAACTCTGGCAAGTAGAAAGTATAATAATTAACTTAAATTTTTTTTCGCCAGTTTTCGTAAACAAAACCCTGCATATGGAACAAACTAACGTTGGCGATAGTATGTAGTGGGCTAGTTGAGATATTGAGAAGAGCCTCTTCTGAAGAATCATTTTTATCTAGTACAAAGGTCGCTGATTCATTTATAAATTTGTAGATGTATTTAATAAAAATTTTTTGAATCTCTAAAGGCTTGTTTACACTCTTTACCTCGTATCTTTGGCCTTTAGTGAAGAATTATGCTTGTAATGTTTGCATAAATATAGATATTTTTTGTACATCTTCCACCGCATTGTCTACAACAAGTGTTATCCAAAGACCTTAAGTTAATATAATGTTTGGATATTAAAGAGATAAGATAATATTATATACCATTTGCTTGCAAATGTTTTTTATAGTCAATCATTTGTTCATAATAGATAGTTTAACCTGCTTTAATTTACTACTACAGCTTTCGGGGTAAGCCATATTCGTGTGAAGCTGAATAAAAGATATTTCCGCCCTTCTTGCTTATTGATGTAAAACTAAATAAGTTTTTAGGTTGTTTATGTACTTATATGTTAATTAAATTATAATTTTGGAACAAAAATTGGGATAAATCTTGGTATTCTTTTATATTGCTTTATTGATAATTGTATGACTTGCAGTGTTTTTTGCACCATTTAAATTATATTATCTAAAGACATTCCATACAATTCAAAATCTTTTGTATAGTGCATTAAAATAATAAATACATAGTGAATTTTTTTATGTTAAATGTTATTTCTACATTCATTATTTATGCCATTTTGGTATATAGTAAAAATTTCGAAAAAAATGTGATAGGGGTATAACATAAAAGGGTATAATATATTAATTATTAGTTCATACTACATATCTGACAGATCTTGCATTTTTCTCTCTGTATTTTTTTTAATCTTTTGGCATTGCAATATGTTGGTTCAATTTGAAGTTTTGAAGAAGGCTCGTAGTGTTGAGACGCTGCGTTCCTACGGTTTCGAATCCCGCAAGGAACAAGTGTTTGTAAGGCCTACTATAATTATTTCGGTTCTCAAATAATTGTTTCATGTTTGTCCGTGTGTATGTTTAACGCCTCCACAATAAAGGGGAAAATCCTAGCATGAGGTTAACATTATGAATGTTTTATATACAAAAAAAAAATCATTCCAAACATATGAACTTTCTTCAACAGCTCCATAAAAAATGCCGTCTTTTGTCGTTATAGTATATAGATCTTAATAAACTGCAATTTGACGAAAATGAAATTATTGTAAATGAAATAATATAGACTGACATGTTACTGTGAATAAATTTTTTTTTTAATTTGAGTAACTTTTATTTAACAACAATGATAAGCTGAGAACAAATTATCGGACGCGTCCGTCAGCCGCGGCTGACTGACGCGGCTTAGCGGTGTGCACGGTAGCTGAGACGGCGTCCTCGGACGCCTCGCTTCGGTCATTCCAGAAAGGTTTTGTCAATCGAGGAACATGACAAACAGTAACAGCGATGACGAATTTATAAAGTTAGCGGCAGCTGCTTTATGTCGTCCTCCAAAAAATAGCGGACCCAAACACTCCTTGTCCATGATATTAATGTAAAACGACTCGAGTATGATGAATTTCATTGTATCCAGACTTACAAAAAGATGATAAACGTTAAAAAATGTACTTATGAATGTACTAATATGTACTTATAAATATAGGCACTCGTGGCCATGAACACATTCAATTAATTTTTTTTTCATTACACATCATGTCGCGAGCGCAGTTGGTTCGCTTGTGACACTCGAAACGTCCGCGGACGCGTCCCGTGCCCCGTTCACACTGTCCGCGGACGCACCAAACATCCAGCCGGCCAGATTCTGTTCGGACGTCCGCACGCAAGGTCATGTCCGCGTCTTACCCTTAGTTCAGACACGGCGGATACCGCGCGGACGCAAACCGCGCGGGTCAACCGCGCGGATCTTATTATAATGGCATAGTACTAGAACGTTCATACTACACCGCGCGGACCATGCAACCGCGCGGTAGCCGCAACTCGACCGCAAGAAAATGAATTCGCGCGTTCGCCGCGCGGACGTAATTCTATGACAATCCCTGGGCGTGTTCAGTTGCTCCGTGGAATCCGCGCGTATCGCACGTATGACAATGGAGCGCTTTGACACCGAACTATTCATTGACGAAGTTGAAAAAAAGACCAGCAATATGGGACATCCAGTGTGAAGATTATTCTAATAAAATTGCCAAAAATAAGGCTTGGCAGGACCTGGTAGAGATTTTTGGTATAAACGAGGATTCATTGGAAAAGAAAAAACTTTTTTGGTTAGTAGGTACTTTATTTAAACATTTCTCCTAGTAGTTACTTTACATTGTTTGTGATTGTGTTTACATAATATAGATACCTACCAATGTAATATACATATTTATAAGTTTATATTTTAGTATCTTGCCATTCTACACGACCCTCATTCACAAAGTAATTAGCATATCTATCTCTAATGTTCAAAGATGAAGGTGTACCTCTTCCTGCATGTAATTTATTAAGACTACTCATTGGCGCAGTGTACAAAGTGTCTTTATACCGTACACCATCTCTTGTCCTAACAAAATTGTGTAACACGCAACATGCCTTTATTATGTCTTCGGCAAAGTCTATGTTAACGTTTATAGGCCTATGAAAAATACGCCACTTGTTTGCTAAAATACCAAAGCTGCATTCAATATTACGTCGAGCCCTAGATAACCTATAGTTAAAAATCCTTTTTTCGTATGATAACCCTTTACCCGCATAGGGTCGCATTAAGTTTTCCGATAAACCAAACGCTTCATCGCCAACTATAACGTATGGTAATGGTAAAGGATCTGCGTTAGATATTGGTTTAGGTTTTGGTATGTGTAATGATTTTTCTATTAATCTTTTATAAAATATTGAATTTTTAAATATTGCAGAATCACTACTTTTTCCATATGATCCAATGTCAACAAAAGTAAAACAGTAATTAGCGTCACAAAGTGCCAAAAGTACTATAGAAAAATAGTTTTTATAATTATAATATAAAGATCCAGAATCATCAGGCATTATAAACCTTATATGTTTGCCATCTATGGCGCCTATGAAATTGGGGAAATTTGCATATATTTAAAAATATATAGATATTATCTCCAACACATATTAACTCGGTTCGGCCATGACTTTTTTTGCGAGTATTTTCCACAAAGCTTTACATACTTCACGGACAATTCCTGTGGTTGTAGATTTGCCAAGACGAAAGTTGTTCTAGTTCTAGTTCTCCAAAGGAACAACCAATAGCCAGATATCTGAAACAAAAAAAAATACCAGCACATATTATGAAAACCTTAACATTTTTCTTAACGATAAATTTCTTATTCAGGTGTAACATTGCAAAAAAAATGGAA